AATAATCTCTGAAATGGGCCTCCCTAGTGGCTCAAGGGGTTACAACGCAACCTACGAAGCTATCTGCAGCCACTGCAGCATCAGTTTGATCCCTGGCCAGGGAGCCACCCACATAGCACAGCAGACCTCTCCTGTCTCATCCACTGCTCCCCTCAGCAGGGTATTTCAGTCAATCTGCTTGTTCTGCTCCCTACTCTGTCGCTGATGAATCCTCTCACCCCCCCACACCTCTGGCCTGTACTCCAGTTCTTGTATGCATAAGCAAACCTTAAAAAAAAAATAGTCTCTGAAATGGTTTTCCTTCATCTCATGCCATCCTGTCCTCACTGGAGGGTTAGTTTTCTATAGCCCATCAGATCATTTCACTCACTGACTTTAAAACTCAAGTGACTCTGTAGGGTAAATGAAGATTGCTCAGGCTTTTGCACTGTTGGCCTCTGTGGCTGTCACCTGCAGCCTTGAATGCAGGAGGGCTTGGGAGTGTGCACATGTCTGATGGTGGACCTCTGGAGTATGGTATGGGCATGCATTAGTGGGCACACCTGAGCCTGGAGGCTGTGCATATAGGGGTGGCAGGGTGCAGCAGAGGACAGTGCAGTGGAGAGACCACCAGAGAATGTTAGAGCATGCCCAAGGAGAGTAAAGACTCACCAGGGGCAAGCCTCCCAGCCCCTAGCCCCCTACCTGCCCTACACCTGATTGCCTCACTACAAATGGTGTAGAAAGATCATTAAAAGCCTGAAAAAGTCACTGAGGGTTCTAGGAGTCTCCTTTACCCGTCTGCCCGGATCCATAGAGAACCTGCCCTGTGCCTTGCTGGCGCTACAGACTTGCTTGTTTACAGATAAAGTAGAGACTCCACAGCACAGTAAATAGCCTTCAGGGTAGGACTGGCAGGAGAGTTCATGGCTCACACAGGGTGCGATGCTGGGGCCTGAATTGAATCCTAGTTCAGTCTTTCTCGTGTGTGGCTGCCTCTGATCTTACACCTGCTCTCAGGTCATACTGAGGACTTGGACACACCCATCTATTCCTCACTGAGATGCCCTTCTTGGGACCACCCTTCTGTGCTTGTGGAAAAATTCTGAGTTGACAATCAGATGCACCCTCCTACTCCCCCTCCAGATTTTCAGAATCTCAGTCCAAGATAACCACCATATCCTCAGAGAAATATTTCCTTCCCCTGGACAACTGGCCTCCCTTTGGTGTCTCTATTGCACCCCATTTAATAGGTGTCCCTATTGTCTTTCTACCCCACAGCTTCTGGAATCCCTGTGAGGAAGACTTGGCTTCCTTGAAACCCCAGTTCCCAGCATTGTGTCTGACATTTAACAGATGACTGAATGAATGGGGGAGCATACCTTCTGTCTGTGAATCTGTAAAATGGGGATGATGCCATTAATGGGGCCTCTCAATCAAATATGATTAATTTCTGCTTCTGGCCACATTACCCGACCAGTAGGTGGTGCTCTGGTATGTGAATTGAGGTTTCCTGCGTTCACAAAATCTTTCTTACAGGGAGCACAGTGTCAGGATTTATTTGAAACCCATCAGATTAATACAGTTTCTCCCTGATACTGTGCCACAGGAAGAAATAATAAGGGCCTCCCTGGTGGCGCAGCGGTTGAGCGCTGGGTTGTGAAGCTGCGCGCAGCCTCTGTAGCACATGTTCGATCCTCGGCTGCTCCCTGGCCACCAGAGGAGGGTCCCACATGGCATGCAGACCTCTCCTGCCGCCCGCTGCTCCCCTCAGCAGTGTACTTCGGTCCTTCTGCCTGCTCTGCTCCCAGCTCTGGCTCTGGTGAATTCTCTCACCCTCCCGCGCTTCTGACTGTACCCAGTACTTGTATAAATAAATCTAAAAAAAAAAAAAAATTCATGTCAAGACTAAAAGATAAAAAGCTTTAAAAAAAAAAAGAAATAAGTAGAAGCCCTTTGGTGCTTTGAAAAAAATAAACAAAATAGACAAACTTCTAGCTAGGTTCAGAAAGAAAAGAATAGAGAAAATAGAAACAAAGTTACAACAGACATCTCAAAAATACAGAGGATGCTGGGCCTCCCTGGTGGCAAAGGGGTTAAGTCTCAGTGCTATCACCATGATCCATCGGGACTGAAATACACTGCTGAAGGGGCAGCGGGTGAACAGAGGAGGTCTGCTGCGCATGTGGGTTAGCTCCCTGGGCAGGGATGGAAATCAGGCCAAAACAGTGATGGTGCTGAGATTTAACCCCCAGGCCACCAGGGAGGCCCCCACTATGTTTTTATTAAAAAGAAATTTTAAATTGTACAAACTTGTTTATTCATAATAAACAAAAACTTTAAACAACCCAAATGTTCATCAATAGAAGAATGAAAACACAACAAATGCCACCAGCATTTCAAAACAAACAAGCAACAACAGCAAAAACAACCTACCAAGACAGGCAGAAATGTGGAATATTCTCATGACATTACATAGAGCAAAGGACTCCAGGCCCAAAAGTGTGCATATTCTGTGAGTGCATTTATATCAAAATCAGAACAGATAACACTAACCTATGGTGATAGAAATCAGAGCAAAGGTTGCTTATTGGGGATATTTGCCTCAAAAGACAGGGGATGCCCACTCTAAAACCTACCACATCCCTCAGGGGGCGCTAGTAAAGGGTCTGAACCAGAAAGAAATATCAACCAAGGTACAGTGCCTTGGAGTCCTGCAGAAGTTGTCACCCTAGCTTTACACCATCAGACACTGAGGCCCAGGGGTAGAAGTGACAATCCGAGGGTCACAGAGATCTTCTGTTAGAACCTAGGTTCTCAGATGCTCTGGGGTTTTACACACTTGGCATTTTCACCTCTGCCTCCTGAAGCTGGGTTTGCACCCTAGCCTCCTATTTCAGAGTCAGGAACCCTCAAAAGTTGCTACAGCTGTTAGGGGGAAAGGATGTTCTGAGCAAACGCAATACAGGCTTTGTGGACTCCACCCCACTCCATCACAAGACACTGGGAACTACAAATCCCATGATCACCAAAGGGAAGGTTGCAAGGACTTGAGTATTTAACTTGAGTTTTTAACTCTCTGTTTGAGTATTTATCTGGCCATGTGGCAGGGGATCTCTCTCTTCGCCACGCGGCGTGCTTAGTTTTACGCCAGCTCGGCGGGCCATAGGGATTCCAGGTCAGTGGAACAAGTAGGACGCATTTACGAACTTACCTCTATTTCTCCCTGAGCTATTCATTTCCCTACTTCCCCTTTTATTAACCTTCAGTGTGTGTCTGCAGTTTAGCAGTAATAAGTTCCCTTTAAGCACGCAGGTGAGGGCCCACAGTCAGGCAACCCGTTTTATATCGGGGTTGCCCTGGAACACAGACAGGGACCAAAATACAATTTTCTCCCTTCTGTCCCAACTGTCTGGCACTGCGCTACATGAGATAACTAGCCACGTTTACCATCTAGCCCAGGAACAGGGATTGGGTCTTTGTTACCCAGCATAGAGAAGGGTTGTGGAAAAATATCTCAAAGGGCCACAACGTGAATTCAAGCACTGGGAATATAAAGACAGACTCTAGATTGGAGGAGACAGGCGGTGAGTCACCCAAGGAACCTCAGGCAGAGCCCTCAACAACAAAGCGCCCAGCTTCCCATCCCCAAATTGGGCTCTGCATCTTCTACTGCACCGGTTTGTCACACTAGTTCACAGATGGGGCTCCCCGGTGGTGCAGCAGGTTGAGTGCAGCGCTGTGAAGCTGTCCGCAGCCTCTGCAGCATGGGTTCGAGTCCCAGCCGGGTAGGGAGATTCCCACATGGCGTGGCAGACCTCTCCTGTCACACCCGATGCTCCCCTCAGCAGTGTATTTTGGTTGTTCTGCTCCCTGCTCTGTCTCTGGTGGATTCTCTCACCCTCCCACGCCTCTGGCCTGTACCCCAGTGCTTGAATAAATAAATCTTTAAAAAAAAAACAACAACCAATAGTTCAAAGAATAAGCCCAATAAGTTGAGCGCTGCTGGGATCTACATAGGGTTGAGTATGAGGTTGTCTGGTCATCCCTTTGAGGAACAAGAAACTCCTGAGGCCCTGGAAATTGTGGCAGAACATGCAGCCCCAGGTCAACTAAGGGGTTCTTCAGTGTTTCCCTGGGAAACCCAAGCCCACTTGCTGCTCAGCAGTTTCAGGAACTTAACATCTGACTCTGAAGGGGACTGGTCCAGGAATCAGAGGGAAAGAGTTGGTTTGCAAAGCTATCCTTTGCTCAGCCCTGAGGGGAATGTGGGCATTTGGCTGTGACCTACAGGGCAGCTTTTCATTTTCTAAGAAAAGTGGCGACAGTGCAGATCCACAACTTATGCTGGGGGTGGGTGGGATATGTAAGCTGAGGCCAGGCCCCCAGAGCAGCATGGAGCTGCAGGTGCAGTATGCACGCCCCAGCTACACTGCTTGTCTAGAGGTCGACTGTTCCCAACAGGAGTCAGCACAGGGCATCACGTGCTCCCTGCCTTGCCCTTTGTGGACTACAGTCACATGGCCAGGGGTTGGGGGAGAGCACCAGGGCTGGACACTGTCCTAAGGCACTCTTTTCCTCCCACAAGTGCAGCCCCAGCCCACTCCCTGCAAGCCCACTGCCCCAGTGACCCCACACTCCACCAGCACCTGTCTGGTGTGCAGTGACTGCCAGCCTATGTTTAATTCATGACTGGGGGTTGGGGCAAAGCTTCCCAAGAAAGAAAAGAACTCATGGGAGATTTTGCCCAGTTCCTGCCTGCCTACAGGGCATAGGGCCTCTGCCACAGCCTCTAATTCAGGCCTGGGGCTGGGAGTGGAAGCTGCCCGTAAGCTTGCAGGACACTGTCCTGGCCAGGGCACAGCCATCGGTCACTAATCTGCAGCCCTGGAATGTCTGCCGGCCAATCAACAGGGTCTCTGAGGGCTCCCCGAGGGCTCTAATAATCCTGCAATGATTAGCAGGGGCCATGGGGTCAGTGCACACCGCTAGGTCTACTGTTGGTGGGGCGGGCAGGCCAGGCCAGCAGCAGAGGAGGGAGGGAGCCCCTGGACTGGAGCTGTGCTTTTTCATGCCAGTGCCGATGGGAGGCTGTTTGGACACACCTATTACTCACCAGCCTCCCCCTTTTGTCTGCCAGCTCAACCTGACTCCTCAGAGGCTGTGGAGAGCTCCCTCCAGCCTGGGAAGTGAGCTGGACAGCTAAGCCAGGCTGCGCCCCAGCCCCAAAAGGCCCATGCTGCAGCCAGAGCCCTCAGAAGGGTTGGGGGGCCAAAGGCCTGGTCTCTTGCTTATGCTCCTGGCTCTCCTTGGCATGGCCTGGGCAGAGATGCCACCACCCCAGCTGCAGGAGGAGGAGGCTCCAATGCCCAGAGGTAAGGGGACCCTGGTGAGAGGTGGGGTAGCTCCGAGCTCAGCAGAGGGTGCCAGGGGGCTTCCAGAAGCCAGCTCCTGGCCTAAGCCTGGCATACTGCTGGAATTTAAAGAGGGACCCAAAAAATAAAGAGAGGGATCCTCAGGACAGTCCAGGGACCACAGGCAGATAGGGGAAGCTAGGGAAGAAGAATAAAGAAGGAAAATAGGCCCAGGTTTGGGGTCAAGGAAGACCCCAAACCAGCTCTCAGCCCTAGTGCCCCTTATACCCCCTCCATCTGTCCCAGCCTCCCCATAGCTCTGCTCCTGGCCCTCTCCCACACCTCTACCACCTATGTCTTGTTTCCTGGGGGTGGGAGGTGGCACCCTCATCTTGCCATGGGGACCCCCACCCTATCACCTAGGGGTGGGCCTGACCTTGTCTCCTGCCCCAGCCCTGAGCAGAAAGGAAAGTTTCCTGCTTCTCTCCCTGCACAACCGCCTGCGCAGCCAGGTCCACCCCACTGCGGCCAACATGCAGAGAATGGTGAGTATCCCCAATCTGGGCTCCCCCAAGGGCCAGCTGGAGGGCATCCCACAGAGGGGTCCAGCTGCCCTTCCACCTGGGCAGGGTTGGACGGGCAGCCCGTGACCTGGCCCATGGGGGGGCCCTACTTGGGGGTTGAGGGGCCCCCAGGGTGCAGGAAGCTCACCCTCTAAGGGAAATCTTTTGGCCTTTCCTTGCCTGTTGTCCTGGAGACTGAGAGACACAGGAAGAACATGGCCCCCATTTTCAGGAAAGAGGAGCTTTCCAAAGGAGTCCCAGCGGAAGACAGTGGCAGGGGAGCTGCAGGGGGCAGCACCCTGTGGGGTGGGGAGAGCTTGTGTGGCCCTGTGGGGTGGGGAGAGCTTTGTGGATTTGCACAACTGGAAGGGGGTCCCACCCAAGTTCCCTACTCATTCGCTGGGGGGCCAGGATTTCCCACCCACCACCTCTACTGGGACTGTGGGGGTTGAAGGTATCATCCTGGGGTCCAGATATGCTGCCCCCGCCCCATGTTAACAGGCCTGGGAGTAAGACTGGGGCGGCAGGTTTCCCCATGGCCGCCTCCCGTAAACTCCTCCTTGAGGCTGGCACAGCTGTGGTGACCTTGAGAGCTTTGGGGTCAGTTTCCCAGGAGGTGGGGGTGGGGCAGGCAGGCAGAGGGAGTCTCCCCCTTTCCTTGTTCATCAGCAGCTCTGTCCCTCCTCAAGCCCAGATCGAGGTTCCCACACCTCCTCCCACACTCCTAGCCCTGTGCTTGGCTGGGGGTGCTCCTGGTCAGCAGCTCAGGATTTTCTACGCTTTTCACAGCCAAAGCTTTGGCCAAAGTCTTGGAAAACTACATTTCATGAAAGAAAGAGACACAGGGGTTGGGGAGGGCACCTCAATCATGACTTTGGCCTTGGGCACTCCCATGAGCCTCCAAGGTGTCGTCCTGTGGAGGGTGAGGCGGGTGGGGTGGCGTGGGGTTGCAAGCGGGCACACGCACCCCCATCCGAGATGACCGCCTGTCATGGCCTGCTGTGGGTCAGCACTTTCTTCCTGCATCCAGTTCATCCTCACAACACTCTCATCTTGTAGGTACCTTCTTATCCCCATTTAAAAGATAAAGTTGCTGAGGCTGGTGGAGATTGGGGGGCTGTGGAGTTCACACAGCTGGAATGAGGTGGCTGGGCTGGACCAGGGCATTGCAGTGGACAGGCACATGCCGTGCTGATTGTTGAGCCTCTTGTTTAGAAGAGGAGGGCCATGTTGGAGTGATGCAGGGTTGGGGGAGGTCAGCTGGTGCCTGGGTGGGAGAGGAGATTACTCTTGCACCAGAGAACTCTGCTCACTGAGGCCAAGGCATTGAGTCCCTGGCCACACCCCATTTCCCTGTGGGGGTCCCTACACACTCCAAGTCCAGGCAGGGGAACAGGACTCAGCATCAGGACTGCTGGTGTCACAGAATGGAAACCAAGTAGGCGGGCTGTACCTAACAGCAAACATAAAAAGCCTTGGGCACATATCAGATTGGAAAAATTGCCTCCCAAGACTATCCCATCACCTGCATCTGCAGTGCGGCAGTGCTCTGGGCAGGGTCAATGGGGGACAAGACCTTGGAGAGCTCCTAGAAGGTTCTGTCTACCTACCTGACAAGGAGGGAGTAGGTAAAACCAGTTCAGAGTGGTCAGGGGCCCAAGCAGGACTCCTGGTCCACTATTCTTTTTCTCTGCTTGACCTGGCATCTCCTGGGTCACAGGGTCTTGCAGGGGTGGGGGCAGTTTGGATCAAGATTTCTCTACTGATGTCTCTGTGCCACCCCCCAGGACTGGAGTGAGACCCTGGCCCGATGGGCTCAGTCCAGGGCGGCCCTCTGCGGTGCCCTACTCCTGAGCCCTGTCACCGCCCAGGAAGTGGGCTGGAACGTGCAGCTGCTGCCCAAGGGCTCCGTGCCCTTCCCCCATGTGGTGGGCCTGTGGTTCTCCGAGGGGCAACAGTACAACCACGCGGCGGCCGAGTGTGCCCTCAACACCACCTGCGCCCACTACACCCAGGTGAGGCCAGGGACCCTGCGCCCGGGGTCAACTCAGAAGGGCTCAGGTTGTCCCCACATTGATGGCTGCTTTTACTCCAGTTTCTTTCACTTTGAGTTTTTCAGTTTTAAGTATGAAATACACTTGACCCTTGAATAACTAAGGTCTAAACCACATAGGTGCACTCACAGGTGGATTTTCTTAAAACAGACAAGGAAAACTCACTACGTGGACCAGTACAGCACTTGTGATTTTCACATTTTCTTTTCTCTAGCTTACTGGAAGAACACACAAAATATGTGCTAATTGACTGTGGATGGTATTGATAAGGATTCTTGTCAACAGCAGGTTGTTAGTAATTAAGTGACTGGGAGTCAAGAGTTGCCCTCGGGCTTCCAATTGCACAGGAGCCTACGCCTCTAACGCCCCGTTTGGTTCAAGGGTCAACTGTACGTCCTACATTTAGAAAATGTAATGCAAATGCCCGGCACAACTGCTGCACCTGATGTCCCCAGGGAGGTGAGGGCGCATTCTGCCTGTCTGGTGCGTGGCAAAAGCCGAGCGCCCCTGCCAGGCAAACATCATCTGAGCTGCTGGTCCCAATTGGGGGTGGGGCCCTCTATTATGGTTTCTGAATCGCTGTGTCCCCTCAGCTCGTGTGGGCCACCTCAAGCCAGCTGGGCTGTGGGCGGCAGCCCTGCTCTGGGGCCCAGGCAGGAATGGAAGCCTTTGTCTGTGCCTACTCTCCCGGGTAAGCCCCCATGGTGGCAGCTGCCCCGCCATCCCTTGCTGAGCCATTGGGGTGGGGGGCACCATCATCCCAGGGTGAGGGGCCCACCCACCCAAAAAAGTTACCCCTCGATCTACATCCTCTGTGGGAGAGGGCTGAAGAGAGAACAGGAGAGGGTCATGCATGATGTGGCTTCTCCTTGGGTACCCTTTCTGGGTATCCTACTTTTGGGGGAGATGCCCAATATTAGTTGGCAGTCATCTTTTCTTTCCTGGGAAAATTCCCTCTCGCTCAGCTCCCTGGCTGGGCCGGGAGGCGGGGCTGGCCGCCCAAGAACTGACCCTTCCAGCTCTCTGCTCCTTACTCTCACAGAGGCAACTGGGAGGTAAATGGGAAGACAATCGCTCCCTATAAGAAAGGTGCCTGGTGTTCTCTCTGCACAGCCAGTGTCTCAGGCTGCTTCAAAGCCTGGGACCATAAAGGGGGGCTCTGTGGTAAGTATCCCCACCTGTCTGCCTCCCCTGGGCCATGAGATCTGGTGATCCTAGCGAGGGTGCTGTCCCCAGAGCCCTGAGCCTTAGCCCCTGGGGGGCACTTGCCTGGCAGAGATCCCTCTCAGAGATGCCTCCCCTCTTCTGACCAGAGGTCCCCAGGAACCCATGTCGCATGAGCTGCTGGAACCATGGGCACCTCAACATCAGCACCTGCCACTGCCACTGTCCCCCTGGCTACACGGGCAGGTACTGCCAAGGTGAGGAGAGCCTGGGCTTCCAGATCATAAGGTCCCAGGGTGCGAGCAGGTAGCTCCCAAGGGTGAGGAGGGATAGAGCAGGGGTGCACCCCCATGTGTGCTTGTGGGGCACATCGAGAGGCTATGCTGTACTCACTGAGAGGGTTTTGTGGGAGTCTGAGGTGATAAGGGGGTGCCGAGCAGGTACTCGCTGATATGCACCTGGTCATTCAACAAGCATTCACTGAACACCGACTGTCTGCCAGACCCTGGGCTGTGCAGGGACTCAAGTGGAATCAGATGTGGCTCCTAGGCTCTAGAGTGCGGGAAGTGGATTCCTGTGCTGCCGTCCCACCTCCCCAGCTCTAGGACCATAGGCAGGTAGTGAGGCAGGTCCCTCAGTACCAGACTGGGCGTCTGGTAGTGAGGGGAACCCTGATGGGTTCCATCCCAGAGGGGGGTGACCTCTCTGTGCATTGCCAATCCCCACATACCCATGCCTCTGAGGGGCGCAGGCCCGGGGGCTGCAGTTGAGCGCAGTCCCTCCCATCCCTGTCCCTCCGCAGTGCGCTGCAGCGTGCAGTGCGTGCACGGCAGGTTCCGGGAGGAGGAGTGCTCCTGCGTCTGCGACGTGGGCTACGAGGGAGCCGAGTGTGCCAGTGAGTCCTGTCCTGAGGTTCCCCACCCACCCAAGCCCCCTCAGTGGGTTGCTGCGTCTGCTTTGTCCCAGCTCAGAGGAACCCACCACATGTACCTCTTTCCAATTCCCTGGTCAGTGACATCGGGGCAGTAGTTTGAACTTGGCCGGGGCAATGGCATTTATTCCACAGAAACTGGCAAATGCCACAAATGGTAGATTTTTTTTTTATACCCCCTCTCTAGCTTGGAGCAAGCGACCAGAGGAAGGGGATCCTTGAGCTTAACTCTGACTGGAGGAAGGGGTGATAAATCTGAGGTCCACACACACACACACACACACACACACACACACACACACACACACACACACACTAACGCAGGCGCCCACCCCCAGCCAAGGTGCACTTTCCCTTCCACACCTGTGACCTGAGGATCGATGGAGACTGCTTCACGGTGTCTTCGGAAGCAGACACCTACTATGGAGCCAAGATGAAATGCCAGGTGATGACTGACCCCTGCCTTCCCACGGACCCCCAGCATCCCAAGGGAGGGTCTTAATGGAGGGACCCTGAACTAAGCCACGGGTCCTTCAGTTTCCCAACTTGACACCCACTGTTAATCCAAAGCAGGGGTCATGAGCTCAGAGGCCCATGGAAGGCAGGAGGTCACTTACTGAGCTGAGGGTCCCAGAAACCAAGCACCCCCGATCTCTAACTGATAAGAGGTCCTGACTCAGCTCCACCCATCGGTTGTCAGGCGAGAGAGAAGGCAAGACCAGGGAGGCCAGACCTTGGGAGTTTTCAAGAGAACCAGGATTTTACTGGCATCTCTGGATTTATTAATGTCGGCAACCAACTAGAATATATTGATGACAATGTACAGATGAAATAAAAACCTCCAGGCTGGGCCCCAGGGCATAGAGAGAGAAGTGGGCCAAAGAGAGGCAGGAGGCTGAGCAGGATGTCAGGCAGTAGCTGGGCCGGCACACAGGCTCAGCACCCATGGCCGTGTAGGGGTGGGAGGAAGGGCTGACGTGAGCCCTGGGCCCTGCCGGGTGACTCACAGTGGGGGTCACAGGGAAAGGGCGGGGTGTTAGCCCACATCAGGAGCCAGAAAGTACAGGACATCCTTGCCTTCTACCTGGGCCGCCTGGAGACCACCAACGAGGTGACCAACAGCGACTTTGAGACAAGGAACTTCTGGATTGGTGAGTGTCCCGCTGGATGGGGTGTCCATGGAGTATGGGGCTGGGATGTCCCCCATTGCTCCTGGAATCTGGGCCCCCAGAGCACCAGCCAGAAGATGGTCAGGGTGTGGGAGGGCCTGAAGACCAGAATGGGGCCAGTAATCTAGCTGGGGACCCCCTCTCTGGGGAGCAGGCTGAAGGGAAGATCTCCCAGCAGGGCTGGCAGGCGTGGGAAAAGGGGGTGAAAGGCAGGGGCTGGACAGGCAGCAGCCTCCCAGGGATGCTGGGTTCTGAGCCGGGCTCAGGGATCTGGGGTCCGGTGGGGGCAATGCTGGTTGCTGTGGCCAGGCCTCACCTACAAGACCACTAAGGATGCCTTCCGCTGGACCACTGGGGAGCAGCAGTCCTTCACCAGTTTCGCCATCGGGCAGCCTGACAACCAGGGGTGAGTCAGGGGCCCTCCCCTCCCTGGGCCTGCTACCTGAGTCTGTAGACACTGCTGAAGCACCTCCGCCAGCCCAGCCCTCTGGGGCAGCGCGGCACTGAGGAGAGAGCAAATCTGAAAGCAGGCCCCTGGCCTCCAGGAACCCAAGACTACTTCATCTATCCAGTCCTTCCCAGAACCCCTTCAGCTGTCTCTCCACCTCTCCTTTACCCATTCCCCACCCCTGCTTCCTGCACCCCACCCTCTGCCTGTGTCAATGCACCCACTCTTCAGCCACCCACCTGCTGCACGTGTCCATGCACACATCCATCCACCAGTCAGCCCGCGCCAAGGGCCTCTGGTTGCCCTGCCCTGTCTCTGAAGCCCAGGAGTGCCGGGTGGCAGGGATGGAGGGGGTCACAAAGGCTCTGACTCAGTCTAGTCCTCGCCCAGTCAGTCCTCCCTCAACCTCCTTGCCCAGGCCCCCGGCCTGTCACCCAGACAAAGTGTGGGCTTGGCTGTGCTCCCAGGGTCACCTTCTCTCCTGCTGGGGGGAAGGACACAGGCCTGGCAGGTCCCGTCTGTCACCGCACTCCCACCCCCTTTCACTGGCATAGCTGAGGGCTGCCAGTGGGTAGGTGAGGCTGTTACTCAGGGTAGGGGGCTGCTGAGAGTTCCCAGCCTCCCTAGGGTGCTGCCGTGTTTGGGAGGCAGGCATGGGAGCTAGGGGGTGGGTGCAGCCCCGGGAAACCCCATATGTGGGATGGGTGCTCCTGTGTCTCTTGGACGCTGGGTGGAGGACTTATGCCTCTCAGACTCCTACTTTAATTCCTCCACCTAAGCTCTCGCCACCTTGACCAGCAGGTTTGGCAACTGTGTGGAGCTGCAGGCAGCAGCTGCCTTCAACTGGAACGACCAGCGCTGTAAAACCCGAAACCGTTACATCTGCCAGTTTGGTGAGCTCCCTTCTGCTCTCCACTCCTACACTACCCACGGGCCCCCTCCGGCAGCTAGGCTACCCAGCTCGCAGATCCAGGCAGTGGCCGAGCACGTGGGGCCACTGAAGTTGTCCTGCTCGGTGCCTTTTTGACCTGCCAGTACCTGGCCCAGATCCACACAGCAAGTCCATGCAGAAACAGGATTGCAACCACAGTCTGGCAAGGATTTCTCCGAAGCCTCTCTCCTATCACCAAGCTGTTATCTGGCGACCAGTAGGGTCCCTCAGTGTTCCCTGATTCGCTCAAGGCCAGTGAACTATAGTTCACTGAGGGTAAAAGTGAAGCCTGGCCCAGCACCTGCTGGAAGGGTCTAGAACTCCACATGGGGCATGGGGTACTTCTGGATCAAGTGCAGCAGATCCTCACTCTGGTCTCCTTCCTTTCCAGCTCAGGAGCACATTTCCCAGTGGGACCAGGGGCTCTGAGGCTGGGCCAGGCCTTTCCCCTGCCAGGACTTGGTTGCACCAGCCCAGTCAGCCCATCTGCCCACCTGTCTGGAACAAAAGCCGAGACCACAGGTCCAACATCCAAAAAGGTTCCTGGCAAGAAATGCGCAAGGGCTACAAATGGGACTAACAGAGAGCTTGGCATAGGAGGGGGGAGCCTGGGGCCCCTGAGCCTGCTTCTATTTGGAAGATGGACTCAATTAGGTACCAGAAAGCGCCTGGGCCAGCAGTCAGAAGAGACCACCCTCCTCCAACTGGGGCAGACCTCTGGGGCAGAGGCGCTCCCTCACAGTCCAGGATTGAGCCCCCAGAGGATTAAACTAAATTATGAATCAGTCAGACTCTTGAATGCTCATTTTGAAGAGAAATTCAGATACCCAGGATCCTCCTGGGGAGACTAGAGCATGCCTGACATTTCACTGCTAGTTGCTTCCTACCCACTTCAGTGTCACCCTTTGCAAGTTTCAGTCCAGTGAGGTAGGAGGCCAGACTCCGCCTCAGGGAGAGAGCTTTTTTTTTTTCCGGCCGCTCCCAGACCTCGGACCCAGGAGTACTGGATAGGAATTGGTGTGAGCTCCCTGGAAATGAAAGAGAGAGAAAGAGAGGGAGAGACAGACACACACACACACACGCACAGAGAGAGAGAGAGAGAGAGAGAGAGAGAGAGAGAGAGAGAGATAGAGACAGAGACAGAGACAGACAGACTTGAGCTCCTGGAAATGAGTGTATCATGGGTGTAAGTGTGTGTGTTTTGTCTGTCCTGGTACAGTGCTTTCACTAATCCCAGAAATCCGGGGCTGACAGCCAAATCAGAATCTGTAAATTTCCACCCCCTCGCCCAGCCCCTCAAACATCATAGTTAGATATGACAGGTACTACTAAAACCCTTGACATCTATTAACTCATTTATTAACTCATTTAAACCCTCACACATTCTCGCTGAGGAGTAATTCTACCCCTATTTTACTATTGAAGAAACGGCGACACAGAGAGGTTGAGTAACTTGCCCAAGGTTACACAGCTGGGAACTGAACCCAGTCTAGCTATTAATTAATCTTTGCACAATCCTTTAGTGGCTCAGCCTATCTACTTGAGGGAGGAGGGAGAGCTCTTTTGTGCCTTGGCTCAGAAGTAGAGCATTCAAGCAAATGTCCTTAACTGTCTCTACCATGCAGCAAAGGGGGAGTTTGGACAGTTGTAGGAGGACCAAGCCCCAGACCTCTGCCCAGAAAATTTCCCAAAGTCACCTGCAAGGACCAGGCATCAAGTTTCTGGGGTTGGCTTGCCCACTACACCCCTGGCTTGTGATAGGAGACAGGGAACCCTACTCTCCACTTTAGCCCTACAGGCTAAGACTATGCATATGAGAATCCAAGCTTCACCCAATCTATAAAATCAAAACATACTGGCAAAGGAATTGGATAATGATTATTTATGACACAGAAAGATTCTTCACCTCACAGTGGATCATTGTAGTGAGTTCTGGAAAACTTACAAGGCCTGACTTATAATATATCTGTGACTATAGATTCTGATATTGGGAACCTGTTTCTCCCTCATGTAGTAAACTTCATTAGCAAACTTCTAAGCCAGAGTGTGAGAGGAGGCATCCAGGCAGGTGAGAGAACGGGAGGTGTTATCCAGAACATACCACAGCCCAGGTGCACGCTGTCAAGTGACCACACCAAGTTGTTTTGCTGGTTGGAGGTAGAAGCGTGGCCTGGGACTGTGGAAGGAGAAGCCTATCCATCACAAGTCTTAGCTGCAGCCATTAAAAGCACAGAAAAATATATTATTATTATTATTATAATATTGCAGGAAAGGAATTTACCAAAACGACAATGATTTCAAAATGAGCAAAGGACTTGAACAGTTCTCCAAAGAAAATAAATGAACAGCCAACAAGCACATCAAAAGACACTCAACATCAGTAGCAACAAGAAAACCAAATCAAAACCACAATGAGATACCTCCTGACACCCCTTAAAAGGGTACTGGTAGCAAAGGAACAGACAATAACTAGTGTTGATGAGGATGTGGGCGAGCTGGATCCTTCTTATCTTGATGGTGAGAATGTAAAACGTAAGGTCATTGGGAAAAACAGTTTGATGGTCAAAAAGTTAAACATGGACCTCCCCTGGTGGCACAGCGGTTGAGCGCTGGGCTGGGAGGTTGCCCGCAGCCTCTGCAGCGCCGGTTCGTTCCCCGACCGCCGGCGAGGGTCCCACCAAAAAAAAAAAAAAAAGTTAAACATGACTGCCACATGATAGAACAATTCCATTCCTAGGAATGTACCCAAGGGAACGGAAAACAAGTACTCAAACAAATCCTTATATACAAAATCCATAGCAGCATTATGTCCATCCGCGCATGGATAAACAAATTGTGGTGCACGCATAACAATGGAAAACTACTCAGAAAAGGGATGGAGATGGACCCTGAAAATGTTATTTTAGCTGAAAGAAGCTAGTCCCAAAAGATCACATATTACAGATTCCACTCACATGAAATATTCAGAATAAGTAAACCCATAGAAACAAAACACAGACTGGTGGTTGCCAGGGATAGCAGGAGAATAGGGAGTCGCTGCTTAATGGGTCTGGGTTTTGTCTTGGAACTTCGAGGTGGTGGCTGCATAACATAATGAATGGATGAAATGCCACTGAATGGGTTAATTCCTTGTTATGTGAATTTCACCTCAATTTTTTTTTTTTTTTAAAAAAGGGCAATGGTTGGTCAGAGGAAACTGGGGAGTCAGAGAGCCAGGTTGGGGGCTTATGGAGCTGGAAATCATGATGCAAATTCTACTGCAGTGCCAGTCTGGATAGATTCCCATGCCCCGAGGCCAGGCATGGTTCTGCAGAGCACAGTCTTAGAGCAGGAAACCGAGTCACCCTTTTGGCAACCCCACCTCTGTGGGGTTGGCCACCTACAGTGCCCATGCAATGCTCTCTGTACCTCGGGCACCCCAGACTCCAGCTCCCCATATCAGTTACAGCCTCTCCTGCCTGCATCCCTGACACCACTTCCCTCACCTATTTGTCAATGCCGAGGGAAGGACGTGTCCTTGGAGTGTAAAGCTTGGGGTCCTCTGAGAGTTCATGGGTGAGGTGGCAGTGGGCAGGTCCTACCTGGAAAGTCCATCCTGACCTTCTCATCCAGAGGGGAGGTGGCTGAATGAAGGGGGTTCTCCATGTTGCTCCTCCACCAGCCGCTTTAACTGGGAATGTGTTGAAAAGCCGATTTTCAGTTGCCCAAAGCCACTGACTGTGAAACTCAGAAGGCGGAGGTCTGGGTTTTAACGAGCTCTCCAACTATTTTAGACTCAGAGACCATGAGTTTGAGTCTAAAGTCAGACCCCCTGCCACTTAATATCTGTGTGACTTTTGACAAGTCACTTAACCTTTAGGGGACCAGTTGTCCCAGTTTGCGGGCACCGTTCTGGCTTTAGCACTAGTCCCAAGTAAACAGGTAAGTGAATTGCTCAGGCTTTTATTCCATTGGCCTCTGTGGCTATCACCTGTGGCCTTGAATGCAGCAGCATGGGCTCACAGTACGCATGCCTGATGGCGAACACCTGGAGTGTGGTGCATGTATGCATAAGCGTGCACACCTGAGCCTTGAGGCTGAGGCTATAGGGCAGCGTCACTCAGAGGCAAGAAGGAGTCGCTATGAGAGGACGAGCTATGGCTGCAAGAGGAAGAGACAACAAGAGAACAGCAGAGAGAGCCCAAAGAGAAAAGGGTATAAAGATTCGCCTCCCAGCCTCCTGACCCCTCGGCCCCCCTGCCTTGCCAGCCTTCAGGCTTGCCCCACAATTGGCGTAAAAAGAGCATTAAAGCCTGAAAAAGCCACTGAGGGCTCCAGGATTCTCCTTTATCCCTCTGCTTGAATCAATAGAGAACCTACTCTGTGCTTGCTGACACAACATTTGGTCACCCTGGTGTTTAGGAAGACACCGTAAAACACATCTCTGACTCATTTCCTTCTTTTATAAACTGAGGATAATAAGTTAGTATATTAAAATGTTTAAAACACAGCCTGGTGGGGCCTCCCTGGTGGCACAGAGGTTACAGACACAGCACTATCAAGCTATCGCCAGCCACTGCAGCATGAGTTCCATCCCTGGCCAGGGAGCTGACCCACATGGCACAGCAGACCTCTCCTGCCTCGCCCACTGCTCCCTCAGCAGTGTATTTTCAGTGGATCTGCCTGTTCTGCTGCCCACTCTCTGGTGAATCCTCTCCCCACCCCTGTACCTCTGACCTGTACCCCAGTTCTTCTATGCATAAATAAATCTCTAAAAAAAGAAAGAAACACGGCCTGGTAAGAGTAAACACTAAAGTGTGTTAGCTCAGCTGAGTTAGATTCCTCAGTTTGGATTCCTTCATTAACATGATAGCATTTAAATCTCATTTGTTAGCATTAAAGTTCTCCAAACCGCCTGCACATAGTAAATGCTCAGTGAGTCTCAAGCTATCCTCATTATTAATATTAATGCCATTATCTGTTGGCTAATATTATTTGGCCACATTTGAGTCAAGGTTTCAGGCAATCACCAGAGTGAACAATTAGAGCAAGCCCAGCTAAGCAACCCAACCCCCGAATCCTAACTATCAATACATCCAACCCTAGCTAACGTGACGGTCTTCATTGCCCAGTTTCCACCCTAGGGATCCATTACCAGATCACTTTCACAGGTTTTTGCAATTTATACCATTTATACTGAGAGGTTTTCACAGTATAAATCAGTGAGAGCTCATCATTCTTTTGGTCATGGAATATCCTCCTCCCAGATGTGATGTCACTGGTTTATAGTCTGGAGGAAATGAGAGGCATACAATGGGTCATTAGGGGGTGCATTATTTAGGAAATGCCCAATGCTGGCCAGGATTGCAGCACGTGGGGGGGAGGGGAACACAAGCTGAGGTAGGCCCTGCCACCTTCAGCTCACCCAGGCATTGGCATTCAGGTGGCCAGGATGCATGCTACTTCTCGGTCTGACCTGTAGTATCCTGCCCATCATCCATTACCACCAGCCACAGCTCAGCCACAGGGTATCCTAACTGCAAAGAGGATAGGGAACTCCATTTAGGGCAAAGGCGTATGGGTTTTCTATTGAGCAAATAGCAAGTTTCTGCCACCAGGATTGTAAAATGACAAAGAGGAGTTGCTTTGGCTGGCAAGGGGAACTCATGGGAATGGGGGTATGTAGGATAAGTGAAAAGGTATCAGGCTTTTCTGCCCTCCCACCATTAGGATTGATGATGGATCTGTGTGGTGCTGAATGCATGCCTGATTGCAGGCACCTGGAGTAGGGTGTAGGCATGCGTAAGTGGGTACACCTGTGCTAAGGCTGTGCTTATAAGGGCGGTGTCATGGGGACACCAGAAGAACCACGAGAGAAGCAGAAGCAGAGCCACGAGAGGAGCAGAGAACACGGCCACCAGAGAACGTCAGAGAGCCCAGAAAGAGTGAAGACTTGTGGGGGCTGTCAGCCTCCCGGCCCCCCAGCAACCCTGTCTGCTGTGTACCTGGTAAATCCCAATAAAAGCCTGAAAAAGCCACTGAGGGCTCCAGGATGACTCTTTCACCCGTCTGCTTGAATCATAGAGATCCTGCTCCATGTCATTCCTGTCACTACAGGGTACCTTGGTCTCTACAATCTAATAGCCTGCTCTCCATGTTTTCCCAATTAGGGGTCTAGCATGGGAGTGAAGTGACATGATGGTGTCATTTTTAAAACCCTTGATCAAACTTTCAGTTTGGTTTGTAACTCTCTGACTGGTAGCTGCAAGACAGAAAATTCCCTGGTTTTCCAGCCAGGCCTTGAGCCAAGAATTTGGACTTTGAACTTGCCTTTCTTTCCTTTAAGCTGTGTGGTATGTTAGCACACCACCTACCCATCAGCCCTTGACTTGGGGTAACAATACCCATCGATGGTTTGAGCCACCAGGTCCCCAAAGCCTTACCTTTGAAGTGCATTTTGTTCTGGAGGCAGAGGATTAACTGCCTCACGCCATGGGCTGCTTGTGTCCTGTCCCTTAATACTAGGGGGATTTCCATGTCCTCTGGCCCGTTCACTAGCCCCACACCCGCCCTTTTTCTCTCAGGGCTTTGTGCTCCACCCACTCCTAGCTCTATTTTTATATCAATCAAGGTTCTTAATTTTAAGCAACAGAAACTGATTCTGGCCTCTCTCAGCAGAAAAGGAATTTGTCGAAGGTATTGGTTATTTCCCAGGAGCCCTGGAAGGTGGAAGGACTGGGTGCAGAAAAAACCCATGGCCACTGCTGGCCACAGATGCCACAGTCGTTACCACCAACGTGGGTCAGAGGTGTCGCCACCTTTGGAAACAGGATATAGCTGCTGCCTCTGCCACCATCAGTGGCTGGGATATGCTTCTTTGCACAGGTGGCTTTAATTCAATCAGGTGTGTGGGTCTGTCGGAGGGGCCGTGTCTTGTGTTCAGGGTCCAGCTACAAAGGAGGCATACAGGGGCATTTTTAACGTCTTTCATGGGAGATAGGCTCTGTCTCAAAGCAGGGGATACCTTTAACACATGTAGGGGGCTCAGATGTGGGGCAGCCAGAAGAATGAATTAGGTCCACTGGGAGAAGCCACCCAGTGCATCCAGGACCTGGACCCATGGCACTGGTCTTGTCAGCCCCACAGTCTGACTGGCAGGTTCTATATGGGGTCAAGCAAGTAATGGAGCAGTGTCCTGTACAAAGGTGGCATGGCCTGGGAATGCTAACAGAAGCTGAGCCCACCAAGTAGCTGTGAGCAAGACCTCCAACTTGGACTTGGCTTCGAGGCAGGGGACTGAGATCCCATTAATCCTCGAAACTTGCTGTCCATGTGACCCTTGACTCATACGGGAGCCTTTCTGTAAGGTGGGTAATAATGGCACCTACCCTGCCCAGGTTGTGTGAGGATTAAATGAGGTGGTGGCTGTGAAGTTTGTAGCTCACTGTCAAGCAAACAGCAGGCATTCACTCACTGCAACGGCTGCCTGCAATCTTTACCTTCTCCTTCTTCCTTGGAGAACAACACTATGAAATTAGTGATCTACTTTGGACCCTGTTGAAATCAGGATGAGCATTTCTGGGCGTCAGCTCCAACAACTGGGGACCACCTGTTTGATACAGCCACCCCCTCTGCTCCTCTCCTTTTCCCCTTATTCTTGTCCTTGCATCTGCTTGGCCTGTCTGTTCCATTCTTCTAATCTCTCTCTTTTTTAAAAAAAAGATTTATTCATTCATTTATGCATACAAGAGCTGGGGTACAGGTCAGAGGCACGGGGGTGAGAGGATTCACTAGAGACAGAGTGGGGAGCAGAACAGGCAGATTGACTGAAACACACTGCTGAGGGGAGCAGCAGGCGAGTCAGGAGAGGTCTGCTGCGCCATGTGGGTAGCTCCCTGGCCGGGGATGGAACTTGTGCTGCAGAGGTGCAACTGGACTCAGCCTGGGGAATGGAAGAGGTGTGTCTCTTAGGAAATCTGAGGGAGCAGGGACTTTGTGAGAGATGCGTATGAAGCGAAGACCTACACCCCATTTCCTAGCAGTTGACTGATATGCTGACTGAACCGTGGATCCCCAGATAAATGATCAAACATTATTCTGGGTGAGTCTGTAAGGGTATTTCTGGATGAGATTAACATTTGAATCCATAGACTGACTAGCGCAGGTAGCCCTCCCCAATGTGAATGGGCCTTATCTAATCAGTTGAAGGCTTGAATAGCAGGAAAAGCTGACCCTTCCTCAAAGTCTCTCTCAACCCTCTTGCTGTCTGACCACCTCAAGCTAGTATGTCTGCTCCTTTCCACCTTCGGACTCCAATTGAAACTTAGGCTCTTCCTGAGTTTAGAGCCTACTGGTCTTAGACTAAAATTACATATCAGTTCTCCAGGGTCATCAGTTTGCTACTTGGGGATCTTGGGACTACAGATCGTGGGCCTCCATAATCACAGGCGTCAACTTCTTACAACCTATCTCTTTATATAGAGAGAGACAGATGGTTGGGAGGGATGGATAGATAGATGGATAGATGGAGAGACAGAGGAGAGAGACAGAAAGATCCTATTCTGTTTCTCTGCAGAACCGAACACCAATACAGCCCGCAAGTGAGGGTGGGGCCCAGACAGAACCCCATACTTAAACAGCTTGGGCTGTCGGTGGCTTGGACATAGTTTGGGGAGTCCACACACTTGGACATGGTTTGGGGTGTTATTGCTAGTGAGCTTTCCAACACTCCATCAGTCTCCTCATTGGATAACTGACCCCAATTAGCAACCTGGTGACAATTGAATGGTTTTCCCCACTTGATTCCAAGATTGGATCCATAACCTTGGCCTTACGAGAACAATGCAGGTTTGCTGCATTCTCCCCTTTCTAAGCGATCACATCTCAGTATTTCTAGCTTGTAGGGGACAGTGGTGATCATAGCCCAAGGAGAATGGCAAGCTTGTGTTAATGCTGTGCCTTCTACAATGGCCAGAGCAGGTATTTGTAAGTACCTATGCACTGTCAATCTTCTAGGTGGACATGGGTGAGTTTTCTGTCCTCTCTGGACATTGCAAATATGAAAGTGACCACAGACGTAAATATGTGCCAAAGGAACAGACACAGAAAGCGAGGCGACACAGCAGTGCAGGTGTTTACCTTGGAGCATATGGTCTGCTGAATGAGTTCTTGAGTGGATGAATTAGGACCATGAAGGGGGGCTGCAGAGTCTCTACCTTCTTCCAAAGTGAACACTTGCTCTGCACTGTCAGCACCATGGGGGCTCCTGCCACAGGTCTCCTTGTTTCTCACTGAGAGCAAGCAGGCACTGAATAAAATGCTCTTGGTGATGATGTTGCAGGAAACCCTGAGAAAAGGAAAAGGAGCAGACCCACATTTATTATTTGATCACAGAGTCAGGAGGAAAGGGGGTGGGCTCTGGAAGGGGCTTGGAAGTCAGAGTAAAACTGGGGTCTGATCCAAACCCACAAACAAAAGGTGGAATTGATAATGGGGCTCCATTTATGTATTCAGCACACAGCCACTGGGCACCTACTCAGTGCCAGGCCCTAAGCAAACAGCAGGAAGCAGGATCTCCCTCCCTGCCCCACCATGTCAAGCGCTCTTGAGAGATGAGGAGCCCAGAAATGAGATCAACTGCCCGAGGTTAGTGAGAAGGCAGCAGCAACGCTTGACTTTTCAGTCCTCCCCAATCAGAATGGAATCGGAATCTGAATCAGAATCGAATCCAGCAGACTTGACTCCTTTTGAGAGAAGGGGCAGCGGGGTGTCCAATTCCCATCCCAAGCCGGCTTCTTTGTTCCTCACTCAGAGCCATCCCTCTGGGCCCATTCCCAATGCAGCCAGCTCAGAGGCTTAGCCCTAAGGCAGCTGTGGGGCGTGGGTCTGACAGGGCCAGCAAGTGGGTGGGCAGACACACAGCAGAGGACACTTGAGAATGAACACCGACCAGGGCTGGGTGTCTTCTCAGAGGACACAAGGATCACAGACATCATCCCTCCTGCCTTTTCATGGTATCACCCCCAAATGTCAGGACCCAGGTGATGGGGTCCATTTCCATGGTGGGCTTGGGGAAATAGTGGGTCACCCTCCCACACTTGGGGGCTTTTCAGGTTTGAAGTGAGCCAAAGAGACCATTAGTCTCAGTGCCATGGTCCCCCAAGAATGGAGACAGCCCCCCGAAGCCTGAGCCCAGCTTGGGCTCTCTGGGTCCCAGGTCCATCAGGAACCAGGCTGACTGCTCACTGACCAGAGGTGGGTACTCCCCTGCCCTGCCTCTCCAGGGGCGCAGCCCACCCGCTCAGAGCTGAGGAACAAGGAATCAAGCAGGCCACACGCTCTTCACCCCTTCCTCCCACACCCTCCCTCTTCCCAAACTCTCATGCTGCCCTCTGCTCCCTTCAGATTTACACATGGCTCCAGAGCCCCAGCGCAGTGTGGGAAGGCCAAGCCAGAAGAGACCTCAGGGCACAGCCGTCTCCTGGTGAGTCTGTCAGGGCTGCCTGGGAGGGAGCCTGGTTGTTGGCTTGTGTGGGGCTCTGGGTTCCCCTGGGATGGAACAAGGACCCCAGGAGGCTTGTTCAGTGTGGTGGGCACCATCTCAGCCGTCTCAGGCTGCCTGGTCAACTCACTGCGGCTCGAGGCCCCTTCTTCCTTTGTCTGTAAATGGGAGGAGTTGGCCCAGCTCATTCCAAGCCCCTTCAGGCCCATGGAGCCCAGCAACATCCTGCTGGCAGAGGCAGGGGGTTCCCTCCTCCCATCTGAAGCCAGGGGTCAGGGTTCTCCAACAGGACCCTTACCTATGGGACGCCTGAGATGTTTGGGAAGTAGCAAAGGGGAAACTTGCTGATTGAAATCTTAGTCCTCGCTTGGGAAAGTTAAAGAAATCTTATATTTTAAAACTGTAAAGAAACTTTATAAACATTTTCAGAAAGGAGCTCTCCAACCTCCACCAGCTAATGCACCATTTTCATCGGTGTCATCAGGGTGTGTGAGAAACCCCGGGGGCCTCTTGGTTTCCTCAGCTATGGTGACCTCACTCAGCTCCTGGCTCCATGGTGGGCACTTGAGGGGTTTCTATCTTGCTGGCACGGAGGCTGTGGGGACACTGTTAGGAAGGCGCAGGGGCCGAAGTTTCTGGTTTCCTTTGGGTTTCACCTGAGCTCATCTCTGTTGGAAGTGGGATGGCTGGACTGGGGTTCTCGAGAAGTCTCTGCAGCTCCAGGCTGAACTTGAGAGAGATTAGGTCAAATCTCACCTTGCCAGCAGCAGCTTAAGCAGCTGAGTCACCCCGTGAGTGGCCAGGGGGTGAAGCCCCTTGTTCACTGCATGTGCGTGGGGCTGAGGAGCAGGGGGAACATGGGTATCTCACAGACCTTTAACTTGCACCTCCAGTCACGCAGCATTGGTGGGCCTTGTCTCTCCTCTGTGAGATTTCTCCAGGGGCTGTGCCACCGGGTTTTGTAAAGATCTGAGTTAGGGGAGATAAGGAATCTCCTCTCACGGTTCTCTCACAGATGTGTCACACAGTCAATTTTGAGACCCTCCCTCTGTTCTTCAGCTCCAATCACCCTCCTCTGGTTTCATATTTTCCACCCCAGACCTTTACCCAGCAAGCTGTGTCCAGTCCTGTCAGACCTCCCGGAGGGGAAGGGGGGGTACTTTAGGGTGGGGGTCGCAGGCTGGGGCACAGAGAAGCCATGGGGAGTGACAGCCCTTCACAGGGGCTTGAATCCCCGCAAGGGGAGGACCCCTTAAGGCCCACTGAAGTGTTTCCAGTAGCTCTGTCAGGCCGTGTGTGTGTGTGTGTGTGTGTGTGTGTGTGTGTGTGTGTGTGTGTGTGTGAGGGGGGGGGCAGCAGCAGGTGGGGGAGCTGTGGCTGTGGCCTTTTGGGATGGTGCAAGGCCTCGTCAACCTGGAGGACTGCCCCGGTCCCCCTGACCTGAGGACGCTGGAGGAGGTGACTTGACCTCAGCCCACAGCGCTTTGATTTTCTCCTCAAGGTGCGCGCGCCACCGACCCCTTGAAACCAAATGGTTCCCTTTTGGGGGAAAAGGGTCAAGACAACCCACCCAGGGCACAAACCTCTTCTCTTGCTTCTACCTCAGGGTGGCGCCAGGGTCTGGGGCTGCAAGGGAGGGGACGTGCAGGGGGACCCTTCAGCTCAGCCAGGCGGGCTGCAGCCGCGCATGCGCCCTAGCCCCTAACCCGCCCGTCTCAACTCGCGGCTCCCGTGGCCGGTGAAATCCCGTTCCCGCGCACACCTCGGCTTTAGCGGCTTGAAAAGGCCACTTCAGGGAAAAAGACAAGTTTGCTCTTTGCATTGGCCGGGAATCGAACCCGGGCCTCCCGCGTGGCAGGCGAGAATTCTACCACTGAACCACCAATGCTCGACAGGCCATGGGTCCTCCGCGCGGCCCAGGAGGGCGGCTCCGGCTCTCGCGCCCCGACTAGTCCCCCCCGAAAATCTCCATCCAATAGGACGGGATGGGACGGAGAGTTGGGAAGAGGAAGGGGGTCTGGTCAGCCCGAGGGGACCTCAATACGCGCTCGTGCTCATTTGAGATTCGTCACCTTCAGCTCGGCCCACCCCCCAGCCCTCCCGGCTCGGTCGCTCCCGGCCGTGGGGAGGGGCGAGGGGGGCTGCCTGTTTCACGCACCACACGGGGAACCCCGACCCCACAGCGTCGGGAGGCGGGGGCCGGTCCTCTCCCCGCTCCACTGGAGCGTTTTCCTTGCCCCAAGGACCCACCCCTGCGGGTTCCTGGCCGCCTGTATATACTTCCTGGAGTCAGAAAGCGGGTGTAGGGGCGCCCCCGGGACCCTGAAGGGTGAAGGGGCCCCCAAACTTTCTCCATTCAGCCCCAGTGGCCCGCGTGGGCCTTGGTCCTTGGGGGCTGGGCCTGAGCTGGGGGCGTGGGTACACAGCACCAAAAAGGTGGATTCAAGAAACATCACTGCGCCCAGCACGCTCACTGCTGCCCCCCTCTACTCAACACGGGCCCATCCCCGGGTGACCTGAAGCTCCTGCAGCTGTGTCCACACGGCCTTCCTGCCCAGGCCAGGACCCAGTTGTCCCTCTGAACTGATTCCCCCAACCCTCCTGGGAACCTGTTCCCTGGAATGCACCGGGCACAGGAGAAGGTGCATAAAGATCCCCAGTCCTTTCTCCTGGAGCCTGGAGCAAAGGGGGAGGTGGCCCGGTCACTGCTCTAATCCTGCGGGGCTGCCCCTGCCAGTGCTAAGCGTGATATCCTGGCAATTCCCACACAAGGATTAAAAGCTCTCACACCCCCACCAGGGCTTTGGGCACTGACTTTACTCCTCCCTTTCATCCTTTGCCAGTCTAAAACCCAGAACATGAAAGGGGGTGGGGCGTGGGAGGGGGGCACTCTGGCAGGCCTGCTTGCCACCTGAAGCCATCTGGAAGGTGCCCCTTCTCAGAAGCCAGCCAGAGGGAAGCTGGTTTGCTGTGGTCTCACAAGGTGACCTTGAGCAAGGCCTATGGTCTCTTATGGTGGAGAATCCCAGGATTCTAAGGAAAAACTTCTTAAATGTTTCTCCAAGTTAGACTGTGTCCGGCCCCAGTGGTGACCTCTTCCCCATGTCTCTCCTTCACAGCAGCAAAAACTATGATCTGGACTACGAGCTGCGCAGGGACGATGTCTCGTACAGGTGGGTAGTTCTTGCCCCTGCCTTCCTTTGGGCACACAGGTGGGGCTGGTTGGCCTGACTCCCTCTATCCTGTCCCTCTAGGGTGTATAAATACCAGAGGATCCCTCCACTCATCAACCGTGTGCCTGTCAAGATGCGGAGGACCCATGTGAGCATGGGAGTCAAGGGCAGCTTTAGTCCCCACAAGATTCCCAGGAATAGCCACCTGCCTCCGGAGCAGATCAAGTGTGAGTGAGGAGGCCCAGCCTTCACTGCAGCCAGGGAGCCCTGGCGGCACTGTAATCTGTCCTGCTGGACCCATCACCAATTCTGTCCTCTGATCCATCCTAACAGTTCGGACTAGGGAGCTGCATTCCATCGTGGGGGAACTGAGCCAGATCAAAGCCCAAGTGGACGGCCTGTTGCAGAGTCTGGAGTGCATGGACCGGCAGAGGGCCCAGCCTCCAGGTCAGACACCCCTGAAGGGCCTCCTCACAACAGGCTTCAACTTCCCCACTGCTGAGGGAAGTTTGCAGTCTGCCCTGCACAGGCGTGCCCTTCCTCCTGCTCCCTCTGGCTGTTCCAGTGACTTGAGGACACTCATGCCTTCTGGGTTGGCCTAGCCCCCACCTACAATAGTTATCTGGAGCCGGGGCAGTCCCAGCCCACCTTGTCTTATTCCCTCAAGCCCTAGACACCCCTGATCAGTGTTGGGCATTAAGGGCCTGTTCTGGAGTCAGCAGGGCCCTCCAAGCCCAGCCATCGACCGTGACTCTCACTGCACAGGGACAGAGGACAGTGACGGGAACTGGGCTCCTGGGAGTGCAGCTTCTTCATGCAGAACCACCGAATCCCAGAAGCAGCTCAGGGGCCAGAGGGCCTGTGCAGAGGTGTACAGCTGGGAGGAGAGCACAGACCCGAAGGCAGTGAGTGACCTGGCACCTTCCCCATTCTCACCCTCCTAGTGTTTGGGTCCTTGTGGCTTTCCTGTGGGTAAGGGAGGGACTCAGATTTGTGCAGGAGCCATATTGGTGGGGTGGGGGGATGCATGATTTCCACCATGGAAATGCCTAGATGACAACTTGGGCACTTCCCAAGCTTAACAGCTCAGCTGGACCATTCTGGGTTGAAACACCATCTCCTTCTGGAAGGGGGTGGGGTTTGAGCATTGTCGAAGGAATGTCACAGTAGGCTTCATGCCAGACCCCTTGCCCAGAAACCACCTGCCAAACCTGTTAAAAGTCAGATTTTTGCCCTTCTCCTGCCTCCCCTACTGCCCAGGGTCTTTGGCTGTCTGCACTGGGCCATGCTCCTCAAGGAAGTATTGGTACATGGCCTTTCTGGATGGAGAATATCCATACACGTATGATACCCTCCTCCCAGATTGGTGTCCCGAAGGGAGTCTTGCTCCCACTGCTGTTTAGGCCATCTCAGCAATTCCAGGCTACCGGGGGTTGACAGTACAGAACCCTATTCCCCTTCACCCACACAGATCTTCCCTTCAGCACCTGGGTTCCAGAGGGCTGTCACTGTTGCCCAGGTCTGAGCCACATCTGCACTGGAACCTGGTGGTTCTGGGTTCTGCGTCTCAGGAAAAATCTAGAGTAGCACTGAGCTGCCCAAGTTGCCAAGAAAGGAGGTGGGGAATTCAGGGAGACTGGGAGATGTTAGATGATGTATTTCCTACAGGTGAAGAATCACACATCAGAGAAGCAAGACAGCCAGTAGGAAGCTGGCACCTTTCCAGGCTCTTAGCTTCCAGCATCTTCCAGAGTGGCTCCCTTCCTCACCTGTGGGGTTTTTCTAAAGGCCTCCCAGAAGTACCCTTGCAACTAGAGGCACCTTTCTAGAGGGCCACAGAAGTAGTAGAACAGTTCAGCCTGACCAGCTGGGGAGCCTCCCCAGAGTGGCCAGTGTCCTGGAGGTCCTTTTCCAGATGGTGGTCTGGGGGCTGGCACCAGCTGACCAGCCTCAGCAGCTGAGGCCCAGTCGTGCAAGGAGCGGCTGCACAGGGCTTCCGAGAGCACCCTCAGCCCCCTGCAGGCCGGCAGCTGTTTCAGCTGGTCTTGTCCCCTCCTGGGTCCTGCCAGTCTTCAGTCTAGGTGGAGAGTAAGCCCACCCACACAGCTTCCTGCAGCCACATCGGTGCTCAGGAAACACCCAAGTTCCTGCAGTCCCCCTTCCAGTCTGAAACTGAGCTTTAAGGTGCCTGGTGTGTGTCCCACAGTCCTTCTGAGTACACTTTTTCCCATCACCCTACAAAACAGGGGTGTTATGTCTTGTTTCCATCAGATCTGCTCTGGAAAGATGTATTGTCAGGAGGGGGAAAATAAAACTTGTATATTTCCCTGGTCAGGGGTTCTTGGTGTGGTCTCTGGTCTCATTCTGCTGCTTGGGCTGCCCAGGCTGAGCAGGCCCCTGAAACACCTAATTTAGAGAAACTCACACCCTCCTGGGGTGCAGAAAGGGCTGCCCTTCCTCCATACCTGAGCACAAACCCACTGGGTTCAAAAGCCACCAAGGGAAGAACACAGCCTTGGGGTCTGTCAGGCCAGCTCTGCTCTGAGGCCCATCTGCTTTCCCAGCATCCAGCATTTCACTCCTGGCAGTTTATCTGCCCTCCTGCTGGAACCAAGTCTGGACAAGGGGCATCAGATAATGAAACCTGCGTGCCCCCCCCCCCCTTACCAGCAAACAGGGAGGCCTCTGGCTGTGCTGCTCTGCACGTGGGTAGGGAAGGATGGGTCTGCATTTCACCCAGAACCAAACCCTTTCCAGCTACTCAACTCTGAGCTGTGGTCGTGCCCAGCACTAAATCAGGGGTTAGGGGACACCCCCAGAGTCCTCCTGGAGCCATGAAACTCTCCCCACTCAGTCACACCTCAGCGGTGGCCGCAACTCTGTACCTGACAGGCTGCTTCTCCTCCAAATCACATTTCCCTACACCAACTGGCCCCAAGTCCTCGACACCAGACACCAGAGTGGAAATATGCAAAACCTTCTTTACCTCCTGGACCAGTGAAGAAGCACGACAGAAGGCTTTTCAGATGTAAAAGGGGTTTTTGTTATGTTCTAACTCAGATAAAAATGAGAAGGCACAGCCCTCTGTCCTTTCTCTCAAAAGCAGTGCAGTTACACAGGAGTCCCTGACTGGCCTGCACAGGGTCCATCCCTACAAGACAGTAAGTCCAGGTTCCGTTTTCCAGTTAAGTGGAGCTGCCGTTCTTTCCAACTTCGAGTCAGGTTTCTTCCAGCTGGGTCGTGGCTGGGAACCAGTTCAAGCAGAAAACTTCTTTCATGGAACAGTCTGTGAAAATTCGTTTAAACACACTGTCCAGAGCATCCCTTCCATAGCTTCCGCGGATGCTCTGGCGAGCCCTGCGCGCTCGGCTGGGTGCAGTGTGGAGGCCGACGGCGCGGGTCCTTTCGGAGAGGGCTGCAGCTGGGGGTCGGCGGCGGCCAGTCTCTCAGGCTCGGGGGTCAGGAAGGGGCGGCGGCGCCCCTCCGGCGGGCGGCCCGCACCAAGCACTGCTGCAGCACCGGGTAGAGGCGCTGGCAGCCCTCGAGGCCCAGGCGCACCGCCTCGGCCCAGCTCTCGGTCGGGCCGCCCTCCCCGCTGCCCAGCAGCCCGGCCACCTGGTTGAGCACCGGCATGAGCGCCACGGTGAGGCCGGCGGCGGCGCGCTCCTCCTCCAGCCGCGTGGGGTCGAGCAGCCAGGTGGGCGCGGGCCCCGGCGCGCGGCTCAGGCCGCAGCCCACCACCAGGTCGTACATCTCCACGCCCGCGTCGGCCAGGGCGAGCGCGGCGGCCGTGAGCGCGGCGGCCAGGGCCGAGCCGCCGTCCTCGAGCAGCAGCGCCGACACCTCGAGCTGCGCGCGCGGGTACCGGCCCAGGCGCACGGCGGGCTCCAGCGCCTCCTGCAGCGCCAGCGCCAGCTCGCGCTCCTCGCCGCCGCCCGGGGGTGCGCGGCGCCGCCGGCCCGAGAAGGGCGCGCGGCGGAAGTCGCAGAGCAGGCGGCCGCGCAGGGCGGCGGGGGCCTCGCCGCCCGCCCCCGCCGGGCCGCCCCCGCGCTCGCTGCCCTCGGCCTGGCGCGGGCCCGAGACGGCGCACAGCACCTTGGTGCCCCCCGCCTCCAGGTAGGCCGAGCCCTTGGCCTGGCTCAGCAGCCCCGCGCGCGCGTACACGGGCCGCAGGCGCGTCGGGTCGCGGGCGGCGGGCGCCTCGTCCTCGGCGGCTGCGTACAGCTGCGGCGGCTGCGACTCCTCGGGCCCGCGGATGCGGCGGTGGTCGCCCGGCATGGCTGCGCCCGAGCTCGGCGCTTCCGCCCGTCCGCCCGTCCTGCGCCGCCGGCGCTTCCGCCCGCTCAAAGCCCCGCGCCGGGAGGGGGCTGTCGGGAGGGCGGCGGCCGCGCGCCAGCGCCCCCTGCCGCCGCGGAGGGAGAACGGCGGGCGGCGCCCTGTCCGCGGGCCGATGAGATCCTACCGGCCCGCAGAAGCGGCACCTGCACGGGTCAGCCTGACCTCTGGCTTCCCGGGCCGGGGTGATGCCAAGGCGCGTCCTCCTTTTGGTTGTGAAGGCTGCACTTAACTTTGCGCTCACACTGTCCCCAACGCTTTTGCAGAACAGGGGCCGACTTTGGGCCTTGTTCACTCATCCTCTTGGGGGACCTGGCTGACACCAAGGCTTGTTGGATTCGTGAATGGATGGAACTGTCCCTCTCACACTGGATTGTGTCCTTTGGGTCCCTGGCACACGCCTGTTGAAGCCAGGACCACAGTGACCTCAGCTTGTCTGGGGTCAGTGACCATAGGGCCAGCCTGGGGTACAGAGGACATGATACCCGGCAGAGCCAGCACAGGCGAGTGGTGCCCCTGACCTCCTAGGCACTGTTTCTAGATTCAGGGCCAGGACAGGGTCTCCATCTCAGCTGTCCATCTCTAGGTCAAAGATGACAGAATGAGGAAGTCAGGGGGAGGGGAAGGGACAACTGATGCACCCTAAATACCTCCTGCACCAGGGAAAATGCCTCTACTCAAAGGGACACAAGAACCTCTAAAAACTAGAGGTTCTCGTAGGAGAGGCTCCAGGAAGGAAGCTCCTCTCTGCTTCCATGAACCCCATGGATCTTTTTTGATGATCTTTTTTTTTTTAAAGATTTACTTATTTATGCATACAAGAGCTGGGGTACAGGCCAGAGATGCGGGGGTGAGAGGATTCACCAGAGACAGAGGGGGGCAGCAGAACAGGCAGATTGACTGGAATACACTGCTGAGGGGAGCAGCGGGAGAGCCAGGAGAGGTCTGCTGCGCCATGTGGGTTGCTCCCTGGCCAGCTGGGGGATCAAACTTGTGCTACAGAAGCTTCGGATTGCTTCATAGTGCAATGCTTAACCCCTTGGCCACCAGGGAGGCCCTGATGATCTTTTTTAAGATTTATTTTATTAACTTATGGATACAAGAGCTGGGGTGCAGGTGCGGGGGTGAGCAGAACAGGCAGACTGACTGAAATACACTGCTGATAGCAGTGGAGAGACAGGTTTGCTGCGCCATGAGAGTCACCTCCCTGGTTGGGAACCAAACTCATGCTACAGTAGCTGCTTATAAGTTTCACAGTGCTGAGACTTAAACCCTTGTACCACCAGGGAGACCCTTTCTTTGATCATCTTTTACTGAATGGCTGTCTCCCCAGCTCACAACACTCTTCTATAGGCGACCTCCACAAATGTCTTCAGGCAATCCCAGGGGCTATTCCCAAGGCTGGGGGTGGTGAGGTGGGGATGGGTTTGGGCTTGGTGAGGACCACAAGCCAGAAACCAGTGAGAACCACAGCACTTATTCTGCAGACACTGGGAGCTGTGGACTGTCAACAGGGGGCACCCAATAGCGGGGAGTTTGAGATCACACAGCATCATCAAGTATTGCACATGATCCTTTTATTCTCCGCAGCAAGAATGATCCTCCCTACAGATCCACAGCCTTGCGTCTACAGAGAACACTTATCTATAGACATGAGCATGTTATAAATAGCACTCTTGGGGTAGTGGTTTTAGAAAGTTGCTGACATGAGGGCTCCGCAGAAATGTAATGTGGATACTGAGTCACAGGCCAGCTCCTGGGTGAAGTCCTGTACTGCTGGGTTAGGAAGAGAGGTGGGGCAATTTAAAGATCCCAGGATTCAAATGTCCTTGTGGCAGATGGAGAGCTCCTGGCTGAATGGGGACATCTGGGGGAAAGGGAGATGCTTCCCAGTGGAAGCCACCCCTTCCTCAGTTCTTCACATCTCCCAGGTGAAGCTGTGCAAAAGAAGTGGCTAGCTGCAGTGCCTCCTGCAGGCAGCCCACGTTCTTGCCAGTGGCCTGAGCGGATACGTCTTTGCCGCCACCTTTGCCATCCATCAGGCCTGATACCTGCTGCACCCACTCACTGGCTTTCAGGCCCCGATTGGCTGCATTCTGGAAGACAGGAAGGGAAAATAGGAGTCAAGACAGAAGGTAGAATGGAGAGAAGGTGAGGAGAGGGGGAAAAAGGACACCCACTTCTGCCCTGAAAGATGCTGACAGAGGCTGAGACAGATCCTACAGCTGGCATCACAACCAGGATAAGACAGACCAAGTAGCAAAGCCTGGTATCTGCCAGCACAGTTAAACATACCCATCAAGGAGAGGGCCTGAGGTATGGGTGAGGGAGGTGGCTGGCAGGTGGACAGAATATGGCCACTTTTCTTAGGGTTGCACAAACGCGAGTTGTGGCAAACAAGTGTTAAGAACCAAGATCCCCTGGTCCTCCCCTGGTGGCACAGCGGTTGAGCGCTGGGCTGTGAGGCTGCCCGCAGCCTCTGCAGCGCCAGTTCGTGCCCCGGCCGCCGGCAAGGGTCCCACAAAAAAACAAACAAACAACAAAAACCCCGAGATCCCTCAGGAAAGCCAAACACCACTGTCCACACGCTCACGGCTGCAGGTATGGAGCCAGGCTGCGGGCATTCTGACCTGGGGAACCTGACACAAGCATGTGATCTTGCCAGCCTCGTTATCAACTGTGAAGAGCATGGCGGACGTCTGAGGGGAGTGTGTCTTGAAGAGCTTCAAGGCTTCATTCAGGGCCTGTGAAGAAAACCTGGTATCAGGCATGGGCTCTGGGGAAGGGTGCTATGTGCTCACCAAGTGCAGAAAGTTTGTGGAGCTCAGTGTCCCCCAACCCCAACTAAAAGCAGAGAATGCAAGCACAGAGCCTTACTCACACTACAGCTCTGACGTTTGCCTTTTACCTCCAGGCATCTTAACTCTCCACCCCCCACATCTCTCCACATGGCTCGGGCTAAACTCAATCACAGAGTAGACCCTGAGCAACCACTCTGCTAAGAGCCACAAAGCTCACACTCCAGCATCTGGAGGGCTGATGAGACCCTGAGGGCAGGACACAAGCAAGGAATAGGCACAGAGCAGCATGTGGAGCCCCAGCCCCCAGATTACCTTGGCAGAGGCGCCGTTCTCCATCTCCAGGATGACCAGGGGCTGGTTGGGGTTGCTGTCAATGAGCTGCTTTGTCTTCTCCAACACCTGCAAGGAAATAGTCCAGAAGAGAGAATTCGGGTCAAAGGCCAGCCTTCAACTCCAGACAGCAGTCTGCGCAGCCCTTGCTGGGTAAATTCTCTTGGCTCCCTTCCGGCCGCCAGCACTGCCAGGACTCACGCGCTTCTGGACATCAGCTTTGCTAGCCCGGTCTAGGTCATCCATGATCTTCTTCAGGGATTTGAGATTTTCCCGGAATTCATCCTTCTGCCACTGGGGGATGACTGCTGTGGCCAGAGCCTGGGGCCAGAAATACGAGACCATTTGGGTCTGGAGCACAGGAGCCAGGGTGTGAGGCTCCTGCTCACCCCACCTTTCTGGCTTCAAAGAGGTATCCACCTGAGACAGGTCACTTTACAAGCAACTGCAATACTTGTAATGGGCCTCCCTGGTGGCACAAGGGGTTGGGCACCACAGTATGAGGCAATCCGGAGCCTCTGAAGTTCAGTCCCTGGCCGGCCAGGGAGCAATCCACATGGCGCAGCAGCTCTCTCCTGACTCCCCGCTGTTCCCCTCAGCAGTGTATTTCAGTCAATCTGCCTGTTCTGTTCCCCACTCCATCTCTGGTGAATCCTCTCACCGCCCCCCGCCCCCATCTCTGGCCTGTACTCCAGCTCTTGTATGCATAAATAAATAAATCTTTAAAAAAAAAAAATAGTTGTAAGGAGTGGGGCTAGAGGGAAAATGGGCCTCCTTTATCTGAGGCCCCTTTCCAGGCGGTGAACACAGCCTGGGGGCTTATGGAAAGCTCCCAAATACTAACACACACCAGGGAGCTCAGAAATAATGGGTACCTACAGCACCTCTCTTAACTCCCTCCAGACTAGCACCCACTTGTGCTTAGAATGGGTTCTCCTGCCATCGGCAGACACAATGGTCCCAGGGTAGGCCAGGATCTCTGGCATCCCCTTTGTAAGGCTGCAGAACAGAAGTCAATCCAAAGGCCACTGAGAACCAGGCCCCAGTTCTTCAGGGCTGAGGTGTCCAATCCATGAGGCCTAGGGCCTGGTGCTGAAGGAGGAGGTCGCTGTCCCTACCTCACCAAGGTCAGCGATCTCCCTCTGCATGTCCTTGTTAGGCGCAGTCTGGGCCTTCACTTTGGTCTCCATGACAGAGAGAGATTTCTTCAAGCTCTCTGCTTTCCTGAGGGCCTAAGAGAAGGAAATCAGAGGTGTAGACTCCAGGTGAAGTAACTTTGAACTTCAGGGTTCTGTCTGTAAACAACTGTGATGAATACTGAAGGCAAGTTATAGAACAACACATCCCAGGACACTGGAAGCTTTCTTCAGGGAGCTGGTGTTTGTATCCTCATGTCCAAGAAAGGAGTGCCTTCCCCACACGCCTGGCCAGCAAAGGCTACATGAACCCACCAAGAGCCTGAGCGAGGAGCCCTTCTCACACCAGGAAATGGTCACCCCTCAGTCTTCCACACACACTGGCTCCAGTCCCCAGCTCCAGAGCAACTGTCCACACACCTCAAGTTAAGCACACACCCTAGGCAGATGGGGAACGCAGGGGGCACTAGAAGCCACAGCAAAATTACAGGCTACACGCTGAGACATGGGTATGTTACCAAGCAGGCAGCAGAACCTACACAGAGCTTTAAAGATTAAACGTAAGAGAGCTAAGGAAGTACTGTGTGGCAGTGCAGTTTCTTCTCCCAAGTGGGCGGCCTGGAGGGCACTGTAGGGCAGCACCATCTGTGCTCCACTTCTGACTACAGCTGCCCCCAC